CCTTTGGGTAGTGAAGGGCGGGGTATAAATCCAATCTCCTCTTCTTCTATGTGCATATTGCTAAGTGAGGGGGGAAATGGCACCGAGTCGGAATGGAATGGGCCGACCATCCTGACGGCTTGAGTGTGTGCTTGACTTGCCTTTGCACACGTAGACATATTGAGATACCTAAGAAGCACTCATCAATATCTGGGGGGATCTCCAGTGGCCAATCAGAAGCTCTGCCACAGGGTGCTGATGGCTGCGGGACCTTTCCGAAATGTTGACGTATGATCGTGCCCTTTAGATCCGTCAGGCGTCCGCAGATGAGTCAGAGCTAAAGGCACGTCTGACCACGGCCCAGGACATGTCTGGAATATTAAAAAGACAGAAATCCTCTTTGCAAGCCGTATCGGATGCACCAAAAGACACCCCCTCCATTTGAAGGACTTGGACTTCATTCAGGGCACGGCTCCCTTCTGACCCAAGCACATGAGACCACGATCCCCAATCAAACCTTGGCAGGAACAAAGCTCATTATCTGGTCCCTAATTAGGATGTGGAGAAAGGAAGGCGGTGGCGGCGGTGCGGAAGCGAGCCTGCATGGAAAGAGCTTTTACAAGTCCCCACAGAGCGATTAAGTGAGGCCTGGCAAGCGGCCGTGCTTTATTAGAAAGTTCTTGTCCCCTAAAAGAAGAAACAATGTCTTGGTGTCACCAGATGACCTGCCAGGCAAGGATCTGGGTCTGATTTTCAGGGTTAGAATCATGGAAGCATAGAGTGGGAAGGGACCTCCAGGGTCATCTAGTCCAACCCCCTGCACGAGGGAGGAAATGCACAAATACACGCCCTCAGTGACCCCTGTTCCATGCCCAGAAGATGGCAAGAGAACTCCAGGATCCCCAGACAAACTGGCCTGGAGAAAAATTGCTTCCTGACCCCTCTCTCAGGAGCAGTTCTTGGGAGAGCTCTCTCAGCCCCACCTACCTCACAGGGTGTCTGTTGTGGGGAGGGGAACATAAGAAACTAAGAGAAGCCATTGTTGGATCAGGCCAAGGGCCCATCCAGTCCAACACTCTGGAAACACAGTAGCCGAATATACCAGGTGCCATCAGGAGGTCCAGCAGCGGGGCCAGGACATACAGAGCATCCCTTGCCCCAGACCGAGAGTTCCTATCTAGACCTTGTGGCCAAGAGCCACTGGTGGACCTCTGGCTCCATAGGTTTCTCCCATTCCCGGGCAGCATAAAGGTAAAGGTTCCCTTGCTCGAAAGCCAGTCGAATCCGACTCTAGGGTTGCGGTGCTCATCTCCGTTTCAAAGCCGAAGAGCCAGCGCTGTCCGAAGACGTTTCCGTGGTCGTGTGGCCGGCATGACTAAACACCAAGGCGCACGGGAACGCTGTTACCTTCCCACTGAAGTGGTACCTATTTATCTACTTGCAATTTCTTGCTTTTGAACTGCTAGGCTGGCAGGAGCTGGAACTAGAGACGGGAGCTCACTCCGTCATGCGGCACACTCGGGTCTCGAACTGCTGAACGACCGACCTTCCACAGACTGCAGTTCAGCGTCTTAACCACTTGAGCCACCGCAGCTCCTTTCCATGCTTGTAGGGGAAGGGAAAGGAGATTGTCAGCCACTCTGAGACTCCTTTGGGTCGTGAAGGGCGGGGTATAAACCCAGTCTCCTCCTCCTCCTCCTCTCTTCAAAGTGGCAATCGGCATTGCCAGCTCCAGGCAGAGAAATTCCTGAAGAGTTGGGCGTGGAGCCTCAGCCTGGGGAGGGAGGGACATATGGTTGCCACCTCTGGGCTGGGAGATACCTGGAGATTTGGGGGGTGAAACTTGAGGAGGGCGAGGTTGGGGAGGGGCAGGCGTCAGTGGGGTACAGTGCCCTCGAATCCACCTTCCAAAGGGGCCATTTTCTCCAGGGGAAGTGATCTCCGTGGCCTGGAGATCTGCTGTAAACCCAGGAGATTTCCAGACACCATCCAGAGGTTGGCAGCCCTAGAATGGGGTGTTCCCAGCATCGCTAGCTGTGGTTGGGAAATATCTTGAGGTGGTGGTGGTGGGATCCTGGGGTATGCGGGGTTTCGGGCGGGGAGGGACTTCAGCAAGGTACGATGACATAGAGTCCACCTTCGAAAGCAGCAGGGGAATCGATCTCTGTTGCCTGGGGATCAGTTGTTATCTTAGGAGTTCTCCAGGCACTACCTGTTTGGTGTCGTGGTGAAGTGCGCGGACTGTAATCTGGGAGAACCGGGTTTGATTCCCCACTCCTCCACTCGCACCTGGCTGGATGACCTTGGGCAAGCCGTAGTTCTGATAAGAGCTGTTCTTGAAAAAGAGCAGTTTCTGTCAAGAGCTCTCTCAGCCCCACCTCCCTCACAGGGTGTCTGTTGTGGGGAGGGGAAGGGATAGGAGTTTGTAAGCCCCTCTGAGACTCCTTTGGGTAGTGAAGTGCGGGGTATAAATCCAACCTCTTCTTCTTCTTTTACCTCACAGGGCGTCTGTTGTGTGTGTGGTGGGGAGGGGAAGGGAAAGGAGTTTGTAAGCTGCTCTGAGACACCTTCGGGTAGTGAAGGGCGGGGTATAAATCCAATCTCTTCTTCTTCTTTTCCCTCACAGGGTGTCTGTGGTGGGGAGGGGAAGAGAAAGGAGTTTGTCAGCCGCTCTGAGACTCCTTTGGGTAGTGAAGGGCCGGGTATAAATCCAATCTCTTCTTCTTCTTTTCCCTCACAGGGTGTCTGTGGTGGGGAGGGGAAGAGAAAGGAGTTTGTCAGCCGCTCTGAGACACCTTCGGGTAGTGAAGGGCGGGGTATAAATCCAATCTCTTCTTTATTGTATCTGCTGATATGGCCTCGCAGCACTCTCCCGCTCCCTTTGAGGGTGGCAGGGGCTTCTCTAGCACAAGGGTCTCCAGCCTGCAGGCACAGCCACAAAATGGCTGCTGCAGGAGGCAGGGCCAGCCACAAAATGGCTGCCACGACTCACCTTCGTTCACCCAGTGAAGATTCTTGTGCTGTGGTGGCCATATATATACACACACACACACACACACATATTCTGTACAGCCAATCAGAAGCCTTGCTGGAGAAAAGCCCCACCTGCCCCTGCCCATTTCCTAAAAACACTCAGCAGGTGTCAGGAAAGGTGTTGGCGTCCAGGGGCACCACGTTGGGGACCCCTTCTCAAGTCTCAGACTGTGGCACAAAAGCTCAGCATGTCCTTTCAGACAAGAAGCACACCGATCCATCTTCCTCGGTGCAGTCCCCGGCTTTTGTCGCAGGCCATGCTGGGAGGGCACACCTCTTGCTCCGATGCCAAGCAACAAAGCAATTCAGGATATTGGCTCGCTGCGGCTGTCGAGCGTCGGAAGGCCCTGCCAGGCAAACGCTCTTCTCTGGCACTATGCAAATGTATAGTGTATCAGATGATGCCACTTGGAAACGGGCAGCCCTCCACTCGTGAGTCATTCCTTCCTCAATCTCTTCCCCCTTTTCAATTCCCCCACTCAACAACTGCAAGGTTCCAGCAAGCCAGAGAGAAGGAGGCAGCCCCGACATACTGCGAGATGGAGAAGTGTGGTCAGCCCAAGGGTCTTAGCTCCAGGGCCAGCCGAATGGCCGCACAGACGGCAAGCAACCAAACTTTCGCCTGCTGGGTAGTGTTGCCAGCTCTGGGCTGGGAAAGACCTGGAGATTTGTGGGGGAAATCTGGAGATGGTGGACCTCAGACAGGGTACAATGCCACAGAGTCCACCCTCCATTTTCTCCAGGGAAACGGCTCTTGGTTGTCTGGAGATCAGTTGTAATAGTGGGAGATCTCTAGGTGCCACCGGGATGGTGAGAACGTTAGACCATCAGAAGAGCCCTGCTGGGTCAGACCAGTGAGGATCCATCTAGTCCAGCATCCTGTCTCACACAGGAGCCAGCCAGTTCCTCTGGAGGGCCAACAGTAGGGCAGAGAGGCCGAAGCCTTCCCATGATAAGAACACCAGAAGAGCCCTGCTGGTTGACTAGAGAGAAGTACTACTAGACATGTGATTGCACTGGAGGTTTCATTTGTATTTTTGCCCAGTGGTTAAACTTTGAAACAATTGTTTTCTGGTCTTTATTCCATATTCTGTATATGTATGATTGTATATATTTCTACATATTAGCTAACATGTTCTATTTGTATTAGACCTCTGAGGAAGGCCTGTGAAGGCCAAAACGCATTAGGTCTATTTTATCAGCCTTTGTATTTTTGTATTTTTATATTTGTATATGAGGTATGAATGGGCCCTTATTTGTTCTTTTAATTTGTGTTCAATAAATATATGTATATTTTTGTATATTTCTGTATGTTTCATAATTAGATTTTTAGAGTTGGCCTTCTTCTATTCCTGACTAACCTTTTTAGGTTCTGAATTCTAGGTTTTAGGTTCAGTTTTTTTCTTTTCCCTTTTCTTGTCCCAACATGTCTTCCTTTCACCAGCAAAGTTCTGTAACATGTGAAAGGGCCTTTGAGACTGATAGTTTTCAAAAGTGTAGTCACTTCCTTACCACGGCACATTCCACTTTGGCGCACTCTCCCTTCCAGCAAGAGACCTGCCCTGTGTCGCACACGCAGAACTCGCACCGAGGGCCGCTCCACATCTCTTTGTGGTATCTAACAGAGCCTTCATGTACGCAGCTCCCCTTGGCAGGCACGCACTCCTCACAGCATTTCTCCGGACGCCTTGCTTTGCTCTCTCCCTAGGAATAAACGGAGCAAGAGGCTGAAGAGAAGAGATTTTTGCAAAGGAACAGTTAAAGGTTTTCCACCCTTCATGTGGCACCTGGAGATCTCCCGCTATTACAGTTGATCCCTGGAGGATCAAGATCAGTTCCCCTGGGGAAAGTGGGTGCTTTGGAGGGTGGGCTCTATGGCCTTAGACCCTGCTGAGGTCCCTCCCCTCCCCAAACCCCCGCCCTCCCCAGGCTCCACCCCCCAAAAAAATCTGCAGGACTTTTCCAACCTGGAGTTGGCAACCTGAATAAAACCATACGGTGCTTTTGCGGCAGGACTTCACTGATTCGGGCCGGAAGTTACAAAGATTTAAAAAGCGAGAACGCCAAGAGGCAGATATTTCCAGGCCCCAATGTTGACGCCTGCTCTCGCCCGCGCTCTCTGTGTGAGAGGCAAGCGGGTTATTAGCGGAACTTTATTCTTAGGGCCCCATCTCTGGGAAACGGCCTTTGGCCCGCGCCCTTCCTTCTTTGTTCTCTCCCCGCAAGGCAGAAGGCACCCAAGTCCATCCCCACACAGATGCCAAAGAAGAAACACAGTTCCCTTGCGAAGAAAATAAAATAAAAATCTGACACAGGGTCAGGCCCTGGTTGCAGGATCAAAGACGGTGCGTCACCACGGCGGCGAGACCATGTGCACAGAGGAGGCTGTCAGAGCGAGCAGGGCTCTGCCACTGTCAGACGTTCACGAGGTCGCACAGGTCAAGAGCAGTGCCGTAATGCCCCGGAGGAAGAAGCGGAAGCCAGGGCCGGAAATGTTATAGAAGCGAGCTATTTTTGCTCCTGGTGCTCTGACTCCGACTCATGACTAAAATAGAAACCAGGGGGCCAAGTGGTGTGATTGAATATGTAGATTTTTGTGTGTGTAATGTATACATGGACCAAGGGATGCCGGCCTCCAGGTGGGACCGGGGGATCCCCCGGAATTGCAGCTCATCTCCAGACTGGAGAGATCAGTTCCCCTAGAGAAAGTGGCTGCTTTGGAGGGTGGACTCTGTGGCCTTGTGCCCCACTGAGGTTCAGGGATGCCAGCCTCCAGGTGGGGCCTGGGGATCCCCCAGAATTCCAGCTCATCTCCAGACTACAGAGATCAGTTTCCATTGAGAGAATGGATGCTTTGAAGGGTGGATTCTGTGGCATTATAGTTCCCCACTGAGGTCCAGGGATGCCAGCCTCCAGGCGGGATCTGGAGATCCCCTCGAATTCCAGCTCATCTCCAGACTACAGAGATCAGTTTCCCCTGGAGGAAATGGCTGCTTTGGAGGGCGGACTCTGTGGCATTATAGTGCCCCACTGAGGTCTAGGGATGCCAGCCTCCAGGTGGGACCTGGGGATCCCCCGGAATTCCAACTCATGTCCAGATACGGTTGCCAGGTCTCCCCTTGGCCAAGTCCGTTCATGTAACACTGAGAAAATAACAGATCAAGATGGGGGTCACCGCGTTCGTCTGTAGCAGCGGAAAAGAGCAAGAGTCCAGGAGCAGCTGTAAGACCAGCACAATCCGTGGCAGTGAGCCGTGACTCATGAAGGCTTCTGCCCTACCACAAATTATGTCCGTCTTGAAGAAGCTACTGGACTCTTGCTCTTTTCTACTGAGAGAAGAAGTGAGTAGATTTGTTTTTTGATTTGAGCCATTGCTTACGGGTGAATCGATGAGCGTTCATTCCAAACCTACCCATATTCCTGCGGAGAATGAAGAGGCGAGGGTTGCCTCTGGAGCAGACTGACGGCCTCGCACGTGAACCAGAGAGCTCTGCTACTCAAACCTGGATGGCCCAGACTGGCCCAATCCCGTCAGATCTCAGAAACTAAGCAGGGAGTATTTGGATGGGAGACCGCCAAGGAAGTCCACAGTTGCTCCGCAGAGGCAGGCCACGGCAAACAACCTCTGTTCATTTGCCCTGACCTGGATGGCCCAGGTTATCCCAATCTCATTATATCTCGGAAGCTCAGCAGGGTCAGCCCTGGTCAGAATTTGGATGGGAGACCACCAAGGGAGTCCAGGGTCGCTACGCAGAGGCAGGCAACGGCAAGCCACCGCTGAACGTCTCTTGCCTTGAAAACCCTACAGGGTCGCCGTAACTCGGCTGCGACCTGACAGCCACCTCTCGTTCACCCGTGCCCCCAAGCGCCTCCTAAAACTCAGAGAGAGATTCTCAGCCGTTGCTTCTTTCTGATGGATTTCCGGTGCTGACGGCGCGCCAGACTGGGAAGCCGAAAATCTTCCAGAGTCATTGCGACACATTCCATCCGGGACCGGCTCAGATTAATCTGGAGTTCTGTGGGGTTTATAGGAGATGCGTGTAATCCCGGCGGGCTTTGCTGGGTTTTGTACTGATCTGTTCCAGACCTTCAGAGATTGTTCTTTACACGCTGAGCTTCCACGTGTCGTAATCTACGTTGAAGTCCACAGATCCGACTCAATCCTGTTCCCCGCAGCTGAGAAGAAAGGGGCTTTAGAAGAGAGAGGTGGCAAGATGTTGTCCAGATATCAAGGAAAGCTGGGCAAAACCAGGCTCCGGTTCCACCTTTCATGGGCAGGTGGCCGACCGTGGCTTTTGGGTGCCCAGAAGAGCAGACGAGGACCTCGAAGGACCAAGGCTCTGCCTCAGTATAAGGCAGATCCACGTGTTCCAAGAGAGCAAGAGAGGGCCCAGGGCTATCCAATCCAATGCTCTAATCCTACCTTTGAGGAATGAACAAGATTGATATGTTGTCGAAGGCTGGACAACACATCCAATTACCATGTCAGATGACACCGGGAAGCCATTGAAATCCATAAACCTAAACTCAATATCAACAGGACAGAAGAGAGTTTAAAAATAAATAGGGCATGGTTTCCTGTCCCAAAAAACACAAAATGCTCTACATCTCACAACAGCACTACAGATAAGATTAGAATTTCAACAGCCCATCCATATGCAAAAGAACCTCCTCGGGAAAGCTCCTCCATTAGTGTGTCACAGCCTGGGGAACTCTGACAAGATAATGACTCAGCCCTACCCCACCTTCCTGAGTAGATACAAACTACCTGCCTACCATTTTTCTTCTCACATTGACACGGAGAGTACTCCATCTTTCTGTGTTATACCTCTGAGGATGCCAGTCACAGCTGCTGGCGAAACGTCAGGTCCTACAATGCCAAGACCACAGCCATATAACCTGGAAAATCTACAACAGCTAATGTCTACTACGCGTTACCTGGATGAATGCTGCCATGTAGGAGTCCCCCAGGCTGTGAACATGCTAATGGAGGAGCTTTCCTAAGGAGGTTCTTTTGTATATGGATTGTTTCCTGAGGAGGAAATGACAGCCCTACCCCACCTTCCTGAGTAGATATAAATTACCTGCCTACCATTTTTCTTCTCACCTTGACACGGAGAGTACTCCGTCTTTCTGCGTTACATCTCTGAGGATGCCAGTCACAGCTGCTGGCGAAACGTCAAGTCCTACAATGCCAAGACCACAGCCACACAACCCGGAAAATCTACAGCAACTGATGAACAAGATTGAGTCTGGGGTCCACTACGGGGCAGCCAGGAGAATTCCCCATTCATCTGCTTGACGCAGCCAGATCTGAAGAAAACCAGGCCCATCTTCCTCTGCCCTCCATCCCTTCGAAACAGATGTTGGCCCGTTGCATCACGTTGGGTAACCATCTGAGGTCACGCCTGACCCACAAAGCCCTGCAAATCCATTCCAGATGTCGGGCGGCAAAGGAAGACACACGTTACCCCGCCCCACCCCATCTGCTGCCTGCGCCATGAGAAAGAAGCCACCGGCCCTCCTGATTTCCCTGGGAAAGTTTGTCTTTTGCGGCTTGGGTTTCAGTAGCTCTTGGCCTCCCCGCACTGGAGGATGAAGAACTTAGACCTCCTGAACTCCACACGATGAGATCAGTGGGTGGGGAGGGGCTCCGGAGGGACCCTGGGAAATCCGGGCCTTGCGTTTTCAGATCGTTTTGCCCTTCGCTTATTTGCAGATTTAGCCCCCATTTGATCGAGTCGAGCAAGAGATCTACAAGGATCGGTTCAGGTGGGTAGCCGGTAGGGATGTCAGCCTCCAGGTGGGGCTCGGGGATCCCCTGGAATTCCAGCTCATCTCCAGACTACAGAGACCAGTTCCCCTGGAGGAAAAGGCTGCTTTGGAGGGGGGACGGGACTCTGTGGCCTTGTGCCCCACTGAGGTCCAGGGATGCCAGCCTCCAGGTGGGGCCTGGGGATCCCCCGGAATTCCAGCTCCTCTCCAGACTACAGAGACCAGTTCCCCTGGAGAAGATGGATGCTTTTGAGGGTGGACTGTGTGGTATTGTACCCCACTGAGGTGGACTGTGTGGTATTGTACCCCAGGCTCCATCCGCAAATCTCCAGGAATTTCCCAAACTGGAGCTGACAACCCCACTGCATATAGATGGATGGGACGTAGGGATGCCAGCCTCCAGGTGGGACCTGGGGACCCCCCTGGAATTACAGTTCATCTCCAGACTACAGATATCAGTTCCCCTGGAGGAAAAGGGATGCTTTGGAGGGGGGACTCTGTGGCATTATAGTGCCCCATTATAATGCCTCTGTGGCATTATAGTGAGGTCCAGGGATGCCAGCTTCCAGGTGGGGCCTGGGGATCCCCCGGAATTCCAGCTCACCTCCAGACTACAGAGATCAGCTCCCCTGGAGGAAATGGCTGCTTTGGAGGGTGGACTCTGTGGCCTTGTACCCCACTGGGGTCCAGGGATGCCAGCCTCCAGGTGGGGCCTGGGGATCCCCCAGAATTCCAGCTCACCTCCAGACTACAGAGATCAGTCCCCCTGGAGAAAAGGGATGCTTTGGAGGGGGGACTCTGTGGCCTTGTGCCCCAGTGAGGTCCAGGGATGCCAGCCTCCAGGTGGGGCCTGGAGATCCCCTGGAATCCCAGCTCATCTCCAGACTACAGAGACCAGTTTCCCCTGGAGAAGATGGATATTCTAGGGGGTGGCGTGTACCTCACTGCGGTCCCTTTCCTCCCCAGGCTCCATCTCCAAAACTCTATGAGTTTCCCAACCTGGATCTGATAGCCCTCCTCCACGTGCTGGTGACCAGGGGGTTGAAGGCGAGGGTTACTAGCTCTGGGTTGGGAAACACCTGGGAGATTTGCAGGCGGGGCCTGGGGAGGGCGGGGTTTGTGGAGGGGCCTCAGGAGGGTATCGTGCCACAGAGTCCACCCTCCAAAGCAGCCATTCCCCCCAAGAGAGGTGGTCTCAGTCACCTGAAGATCGCTCGTCATTCCGGGAGGCCTCCAGCCACCACCTGGAGGCTGGCAACCCAGTACATGACGACCGCAGGAGCCCTGCTGGTCTGCAGCAAAACAGCAAGATGCGAGTTGAGCAGCAATAAGATTTTCAGGGCATACGCTGTTGAGAGTCAAGCTCGCTTCGTCAGATACAATCAGGGTTTTCAGGGCTTGGTCATTTTGGATAGACGAATAATATCCAAAATCACTATCTAATCAATATCCGAAGAATACCAATAAGGGCTTGGTCATTTTGGATAGACGAATAATATCCAAAATCACTATCTAATCAATATCCGAAGAACACCAATAAGGTATTCTTCGGGGGGAGGCCACCAAGGAAGTCCAGGGTTGCTACGCAGAGGCAGGCAATGGTAAAATCATCTCTGTCCATCTCTTGCCTTGACCTGGAACACCCAAGCTAGCCCGATCTCATCAGATCTTGGAAGCTCAGCAGGGTGAGCCCTGGTTAGTCCTCGGTGGGGAGACCACACCAAGGAAGTCCACGGTTGCCACGCAGAGGCAGGCAATGGCGAAATCACCCTTGTCCAACTCTTGCCTTGACCTGGATGGCCCAGGCTTGCCCGATCTCATCAGAACTCATAAGTTAAGCACGGTCTGGGTCGCAAACAATGTTCCCTCTAAGCTGAGTTAGCGTGAGCTAGCTCACAGTTTTTTAGCCTCGGGCTCACACATTTTTGTCTTGGCTCAGAAAGACCAAGGAAGTCCAGGGTTGCCACGCAGAGGCAGGCAATGGCAAAATCACCCTTGTCCATCTCTTGCTTCGACCTGTATGGCCCAGGCTTGCCCAATCTCATCAGAACTCATAAGTTAAGCAGGGTCTGGGTAGCGATTCGCAAGTGGGGTTGACTGACAGAAAAGACTTCTGCAGACGTGTGCGGAGTCTAAAAGGGGGCTGCACACATCGATGGAACTGCCTTTCTACTCCAGACGCTCGCCATTTTCTTATCATCAGTGTTCCCTCTAAGCTGAGTTAGTGTGAGCTAGCTCAGAGTTTTTTTAGCCTCTGGCTCATGCCGATTTTTGTCGTAGCTCAGGAAGGAGGGCTCCAGAGCCAGCTAATTTACACAGCAGCCAAATTGGCTCACTGACAACTTTCAATGCCAGTCGCTCACAAAGTAGCATTTTTGCCCACGAGACCCCACAGCTTAGAGGGAGCATCGGTCATCACCGCTATTTATATCCGCACTGTCCAGTGCAGTTTTCCTGAGGAAAAGAAAGCGCCGTTCTCAGCAGGATTCCTGACGGGGTCCCTCCGGGGAGGGGGTGGGAGGCTTTTAAATAGAAAGACAAATAATCTTCTGCAATCATTTACGTCCCTCTCTGGATGTGAAAGGGTTCGGCTCCCACAGCGCTGGTCAGACAGGGTGTGTCTGTGTGCAGCGGGGAGGGGAATGAAGTTCCCAGCCACAGATGTCTTCCACCTGCTAATAGTCAAGAAGAAGGAGGAGGAGAAGGAGGAGGGGGGGGTGGAGGAGGAGGAGGAGGAGATTGGATTTATACCCCCACCCTTCACTTGGCGTCTCAGAGCGGTTTACAATCTCCTTTCCCTCCCGCTCCCCTCAACAGACACCCTGTGAGGTAGGTGGGGCTGAGAGAGCTCTGAGAGAAACTGCTCTTGAGAGGACAGCTCTGACAGAACTGTGGCTTGCCAAAGGTCATCCAGCCAGCTGCATGTGGAGGAGTGGGGAATCAAACCTGGTTCTCCCAGATTAGAGTCCACGCTCCTAACCACTGCCATATAGAGGAAGGAGATTTCCTATCCCACCCCAAGGAAGAAATAGGTTGGAATCTGGGAGACTGAGCTTGGGCCAAGGAAATGGCAATTGTCACTGGGGTTGCCAGCAGTGTTCCCTCTAAGCTGAGTTAGTGTGAGCTAGCTCACAATTTTTTAGCCTCCGGCTCACACATTTTGCCTCAGCTCAGGAAGGATGGCTCCTGAGCAAACTAATGTATGTAGTAGCCAAATTGCTCGCTCACAACTTTAATGCCAGCGGCTCACAAAGTAGAATTTTTGCTCACAAGACGCCACAGCTTAGAGGGAGCCTTGGTTGCCAGCCTCCTGGTGGGGCCTGGAGATCTCCCGGAATCACAACGGACTCCAGACAACAGAGGTCAATCCCCCTGGAGAAAATGGCTGCTCTGGAGGGTGGACTCTGTGGCATTATACTCTGGAGAGGTTCCTCCCCTCCCCAAACCCTCTTCTCTCCAGTCTCCACCCCCAATAGCAGGAGAATAACGATAGTGCTGTGATTGGGTTATCACACCTAATCCAAGAAGAAGAAGAGGAGGAGGAGGAGGAAGAGGAGAATGGATTTATACCCCACCCTTCACTTGGAGTCTCAGAGCGGCTTACAAACTCCTTTCCCTCCCCCTCCCCACAACAGACACCCTGTGAGGTAAAAGAAGAAGAAGAAGAGATTGGATGTATACCCCACCCTTCGCTTGGAGTCCCAGAGCAGTTTACAATCTCCTTTCCCTTCCCCTCCCCACAACAGACACCCTGTGAGGTCGGTGGGGCTGATGGGGTAGGTCTTATTTTCGGGGAAACAGGGTATACCATCACCGTCATGGTTTGACGAGGCCCAGAGGAAACACCTGAAACGCCTGGATACTGCAAAAAAGATCTAAGCCGTTCTCCTGTGGATGCAAACAGCATTGGAAATACCACCGGAACTGCACTGATGCCAATCATGCCTGCTATTGTCATTCACCTGCTCTTGTCATTCGGCTTCTGAAATCGCCAAAATATAGGACAGATGGACTCACATTCTATCTGTATCTGCAGAAGTGAGCAGTGACTTCTGAAAGCTCATCCCCTGCCACAAATTTTGTTAGTCTTTAAGATGCTACCGGACTCTTGCTCTTTTCTGGAGACCAAGTCCTGTGAGGAAAGGTTGAAGGAGCTGGGTACGTTTAGCCTGGAGACGACT